GGTGGGGTCTTCTGCTGTTGTAGCCCATCCGCCTCAAGGTTGTGCGTGTTGTGGCTTCACAAATGCTTTGCTGCATACCTCGGTTGTAACCAGTGGTTATTTCAGTCAAAGTTGCTCTTCTATCAGCTTGAATCAGTCGGCCAATTCTTCTCTGACCTCTAGCATCAACAAGGCATTTTCGCCCACAGGACTGCCGTATACTGGATGTTTTTCCCTTTGCACACCATTCTTTGTAAACCCTAGAAATGGTTGTGCGTGAAAATCCCAGTAACTGAGCAGATTGTGAAATACTCAGACCGGCCCGTCTGGCACCAACAACCATGCCACGCTCAAAATTGCTTAAATCACCTTTCTTTCCCATTCTGACATTAAGTTTGGAGTTCAGGAGATTGTCTTAACCAGGACCACACCCCTAAATGCATTGAAGCAACTGCCATGTGATTGGTTGATTAGATAATTGCATTAATGAGAAATTGAAAAGGTGTTCCTAATAATCCTTTAGGTGAGTGTACATCTTTGTCTCCAGTAGTTGATAAATGTAAGCTGCTACAAATACGTTATCATTACAATAGACTATATTACATCGATTGTCATGCATAATATAGGTTAATATGTCCTGCAAACAATACCACCATTTTCTGTATTTTCCCAGAAAACATCTATTACAGGGGTGGCCAATCTTATCCGCAAAGGGCCGGTGTGTATGCAGGTTTTTGGGATAACCTGTAGGTCAGCTGTTCAAACCCAGGTGTGAGGACTCTTCAGCCAATCAGTCCTCTAATTAGTAATCTAATTAGGGAGTTGCAGCGAAAACCCGCATACACACCAGCCGTTTGCGGATAAGATTGACCACCCCTGATCTATTAGCAGCAACTTAAATAATTTTATTTATCTTGAAAAACACAGAAACATTGAGAAGACGTGATGCTTTCGTGTATATATATGGCTTGTTTACCTCAACACTTTTGAAAATAGACATTAAAATTACAGTGAACCGTTACAGTTACCGCCTAACTATAAAGCAGCAGGTGACGTCATGATTTCAAATCAGCGCGTGACAGTAGGAATGTGAGGGAAACTTAATTCCCTGCCAGACCTGTATCATTAAAGATAAGTCTCCACCCAACTTAACAATGCCCGGAAATACAATGAGGTATGCACCGTGTATTTAAAAAGCTGTACCTTTTCTCAAAGAACACATACACCATGAATCTCATTCCCTCTTTTTCTGCAGGAACATGGACTCTCTTAATAACTTTCTTCATTCTGCTGATACTGTAAGTTATGCTCCTTTATTCCAGTTTTCTTTTTACAGTTACATGTGACCATGAAAATAGTAAAATACTAAGAGATGTTTCATATGACATATAAATTAAAAGTCTGAAATGTATGGGGTTCCATTTGTGCCTGAAATATGTTGATATGCACTGCCCATGTCAAATGAACATAACATTTTTCTGTGTTTATTCAACTTTGAACTGAACTTCAAACATGACAACACTATTTTGGCAATGTTCTTGTCTGTTGATTGCTCATCTGACAAGACATTTATCTGTCAGTTCAACTTTATACTGTACTTCTGTCATCTTAGCACATGATTATGTTGTCCTTGTCGTTTGACTACCTCGTTATATGTGCTGTCCTGATGTGTCGTCTGACTGTGTTATGAATGTCGTCTTGATGTATCATTTGTCTGTGTTATTTTTCTTGTAGTCCTGCTGTATCACTCTCCCTGTTATTTTTGTCATTCTACATATCTTCTTGTTGTAACATTCTGAAATACACCAATCATTCTCCAATACGCTTTAATTTTTTCATAGGAATTCCACAAAGGCTACTTCTGTCAAAATCAAGTTTTCTTGTCCTAAACGGTCACTTTTTTTTTTTAATGATCTTGTGGATGAAAACGTGCTACACAAATAAATCTTAACTAGATGTCTACTTGGAATGTCAGGGACAGGGAGAATAAGAGCCACACACAATGACGAGGAGAATGACTCATCGAAACAAAATATGACAGCACAAACAAACATCACATTAGGATGACATTCATAACAACACAATCAAACAGCGAGGAGAACTACACAAGACAACATTCATAACGACAAAAATAAACCTCAAATCAGGACGACATTCATACCACAGACACACAGTCGAATGACACATCGAAACAGCATTCATGACAACACAGAGAATCATCACATCAGGACGACATTCGTAACAACGGTCAAATAATAAGGAGAATGACACATCATGATGACACATTTGGTCTACGTGCAGTACAACAGTCAAATGTCAGGGCATGCCAGGACAACAGAAGTAAAGTTGAATTGACAGAGACAATGTGCAATTGACACAGACAATCCATCCATCCATCCATTTTCCAAACCGCTTATCCTTCTTGGTCGCAGGGGGTCCGGAGCCTATTCCGGAAGCTACAGGCACGAGGCAACATAGACAATCTCATTGTCAAAACAGTTTTGTCATGGCTGAAATACAGTTCAAACTTGAATAGACACAGAACAATGTTTTGTTACTATACATGTTTAGTCGACATGGATAGTGTGCTATTGACATATTTATCGCACAAATCAGAAACCCATATGCTTGTCGACATTTCTGACACAGATGGAAACCCATATAAAAGTAAACTAAAATATATTTTCTGCTAACGCTGATGTTTTTTTACATGCACATGCTCACATAGATGTGTATTTTGTTCTTCTAACGTGTTTGAAACATTGCCTGTACATTATTGTTTCTCTCCCTCCCCCCCGCATGTAGGTATGGTGTCTGGCCATACGGCTTTTTCAGAAACCTAGGAATTCCAGGACCAAGGCCACTGCCATTTGTAGGGACCTTTCTGTCATACATCTGGGTGAGTCTGCTGAATGTAATGCATTTGGTGTGATTTTACCGCTCAGCAATGCATTTCAATAAACCTACAGTATGCAGTAGGGGAGAGAATTGGCAGGGGCCTCTCAAATCCAGGTGATGGTACACATCATTTTCAGTTGACTGAATCGCTGAGGTCAGCGCATCTTTTTTTACGTAATAGACTTTGTGGTAGTCGGTTTGTTACTCCGAGGTGCCCGTAAGTTGGATGTTCTTAACCCGGTGGCTGTCTGTAGTTCATTATGAATGTTACGATGTAATTTGTATTTACTTTATATATTACAGTGGTACCTCAGAACTCAAAATTAATCTGTTCAGAACTCCGAATCGAATCCTAAAAAGTTCGGGTTCTGGTCGAATTTTCCCCATAAGAAGTAGTGGAAAACCAATTAATTGGATCCCGGCCACAAAAAATTACACCTAAATATGTTTTTTTTTAGCATTTAAACACAAAATAAACTGGATAAAACAAGAAGAGCATATACTGTACTGCACTAAACACATCTAAGGACATTTAGCAAAACAGTAATTTGTAAAGTAAGAAAATAAATGTATCCAATGTGTAAAGTTAAAAAAAAAACAATGTGTCCTGCTCCGATTGTTTGCTCCTTCCGTGTGCCACGCCCCCTCGTTAACCCCGTGTGGAATCCCCGTGTGATCAGCTGTTTCTGGTTGTTGTCATGAGACCTCTGTATTTCGTCCATATTTCAGTTTGTTTCCCCAGTTGGGTCATTGTATTGTCCGTCTGCATTTTGCCTGTCTTACCTGTAATTAAACCCTGTATTCCCCGATACCCTGACGTCTGCGCCTTTGTCTCCATTCCGTCCCCGTTCTACACGACAATATTATTATAATTAAATGTATTGATGGTTTATTATTAATATTAAAATAATAAGAAATCTTTATTTTAAAATGTATTTTATTATATATTAATAATTACTGTTACTGTCTATCATTGTCTAAATGTATTTTTACTATCTAAATATATGTATTCAACATGCACGATGCTATCACAGCGAATGCGAGGCTGAGACTGAAGCGTTACCCTTTGTTTCCGCTGAGATACATGCTGCGTGACTCATTTCCCCGCACGTACAAGTTATCTTAGGTCGGCGTTCACGGTTTGACTTCTGAGATTAAGGCCTCGTCCACACGGACGTTCGAAACGAACGCCCTCTGATCGCCATACGCGTTTTTCCTGCGTTTTGTAGCTGCATTCGATTGGCGTTTCACTGGCATTCGCTTGACGCAGTTTAACACCTAAGATCGAGCTCTATTTAATTTTTTTCCGAACTGGTTGGTTCAACTTTTAAGAAATTCGAGTTCTAATGAGTTCGAGAACTGAGGTACCACTGTATTCTTATACTAATTAAATTGTATAAATGAGATTTTCTTGGGTTTTGTTTAGACATGACACATACATTGGTTTACAACTGTTCCTATATTAGCAGTTTTAATAATAAGCTATTTAAAAACAAATTCTGTTTCCCTGCTTAACCAGAATTGTACTGAACCATGAACCCAATCAGAAACTTTTAAAGAGATAAAATCAATGTTTAATATAAAAAACAGAATTGCAATTTGTAACTGAATCGATCTGCCCCCCTACCCATACCCCTACTGTCTAGGCCCCCTCAGTCAGGAAAATTGATGGTTGATGGATGGACAAATGAGTTGTTTCTTTAAAATGAACATAACCTTAAACATTCTGAATTCTTGAATAAAATGTCATTCCTCCCAAGTAAGAACATTCACATCAGTAATTTTAGCTTCATTTCCAACTCTCTGCAGGGCTTTCACAATTTTGATGTGCAGTGTTTCAATAAATATGGAAGCATCTGGGGGTGAGTCTATCTACAAGACCCTCACCATGAAACAGATAAGTGCAATATTGGATGGATGGATGGATGGTCGATCATTCCATCCGGGGTGTTCCCTTGCCTTATGCCCCGTGCCTTACACTCACCATGACCATGTACTGCGTAAGTGGTATGAAAGATGGATGGTTGCTAGGAAGGTGTATATATTTATGTCTCTTGAGCTTTTCACAAAAGCATCTGAATAGGCACGTCCATCATGGCAGATCCAGGTATTCAGCCAGAGAGGGATGTACACGGCTGCTGAAGACCAGGCCCGTTCAAGACTCCTGATTCTTATGAGCTTCATGCATTTTTCAATCTGCAGGATTTTTGATGGCCGACAGCCGTTGCTGATGATTACAGACCCGGAGATGATAAAAAAAGTGATGGTCAAAGATTTCTACACCGTCTTCACAAACCGGAGAGTAAGTCTGAGCTGCTTCTCCGTGGCCTCAGTCCTCAGCATTTGGTACAAACATTCTTGCCGTTTTCCACATTTTCCAGCCGTACACAGAAGTAATAAAAACATTTGCTGCACCATGAGCTGGGTGTCGGAGAGGCATGGATACCCTGACAGATTCAGGGGACCATTGAATAAGTAAAATCATGAAATTATATAATGTAAGGGGATGGGGGCACTAAGGTGACATTTTGTCAGGGAGCCCAGAAGGTCTGGTTACTCCCCTGGCTGCCAGTGTGCTGCCCTGTACCTCCCAGGTTGGCATGGATCCAGCCCAGCTCTGTATTTTTGCAGCTGGCACGTTCTCCCAGTGCCGTTTGGAGTCCATCCAGTAAAGTTCATCCAGTAAAGTAATTGATGAAAATGACAGATGAATGGATTATTTTACACTGCTGGTTAATTGTGTAGCTGGCCGTTTGCATGTTTTGCTTAAGCTGTTTAGAATCAGGAGCCTCCTTGGATCCACTGGCTCTTGGTCAACATTTCTGTCCCTCAGCACTAAGGATGCCAGAAACGATTAGCTACTGTAGGCATATAAGATCAATGGCCAGTGTTCTCTGCTCTGTTCTGGCGAGCACCAGAGCTAGCCCACCGCTGTGTCTTCCTGCAGGAAAGGGTTCTCGTCAGGCCGCTGGCTGATGCTCTGTCGATGGTAAAAGACGGAAAATGGAAAAGGATACGGAGCGCGCTGTCCCCGTTATTCACCAGTGGGCGGCTAAAAGAGGTGCGGCACTCAGTCACGGGGCTACACACGGGGAAGGGGCTTATTGTCTCTTCAGGGAGTCTCCTAAGTTTCGTTCATCATGGACTGGTGTTGACTGCAGCATCTTTGAAACATTTAAGTTTTACACAAACATTAATTATAATAATAATCATGTTATATAATATTTTAACAAAAGCCATGAAGTGTCTTTACCTCTGTTGTCCTGTATACATGACAAATTACTGATGTGTATAATAGCTGTTTGCTAATTTGTTGTTGATCAGTTTAAAATGAAACATCTTGCTGGCTGTTGAAACGAAAGAGGAATATGGAATATGGCTTTTGTTCTTGTGACCTCCAGATCTTTCCCATTGTCGAGCGCTATGCTGATTCCTTGATAGCTAATTTGAAGAAGCGAAACCTAGAGAACCCAGTGGGAATTAAAGAGTGAGTATTGTTTCTGTAATACAAATGCCTCCGGGTACGATACAGTACTGCATTATATATCTGACATGCCCTCAAGCTTCATACCTAATTGTAGTAATAATAATATATAATTTGCTGCCTATTGAAGGATTACAGTGATTGAAACAGCTATGCTACAGCATGGTGATATATAAAAAATCCATACCATTTGGGAAATTAAAAACTTTATACCAGATGAACCGATATACTACCCAGTACTAATGGGGTGTATTGATTCACCAAATTACTCTTTTGTCACTATGGCAACAGAGAGCTGACAGTAACAGCCTTCAAACCACCTTTCCCCCCAGCATTTTTGGGCCGTACAGTATGGACGTAGTCACCGGCACATACTTCAGCGTGGACATTGACTCCATCAATAACCCCAAGAACATCTTTGTTGACAGTGTTAAGAAAATGCTGAACTTCAGCCTTTTTAACCCCTTTTTCCTGATTATAAGTATGTGGGAATTGTGCCTGATTTCTCATATCAGTTTATGTGACTATGTTCCTATGTATAATTCCACTATATTTTTCGACAGAATTATTTAGTGTATAATGTTGTTACATTAAAATAGAGCTATACTACAGTTGTAAAAAAATTAATAGTTCAGCTGAAAACTTTATTTTTTTCCAGCCCTGTTTCCTTTTACTGTTCACTTGTTTGAGAAGTTGGGCGTCTCCTTTGTTTCTAAGTCAAGCTTGGACAATTTCTGCCGAACAGTACGGAAGATAAAAGATGAGCATCACATCAAACAGGAGGTGTGTCCTGCTTAAAATCCAGGGTCCTGCACTTCCAATCTGGGTCTCCTATGCAACAATGTTCTAAACGCACTCTGAGCTAATCATGCCATAGAAACAACCAGTGATCTTGATGACCGTTGACCTCCTGTGCTCAAACTACAGTTTGACAAACATTTAGTTTTATCAACAGAGTCAAGTGGGCTTCCTACAGCTTATGGTTCAGTCTCAGATTTTGGAGGAGAAGGCAAACGCCCAGGAGAGCAGCAAACCTGTTAAAGGTAAGAGTGTGTCTTTCCAAACACAATGGTCACCTCTTTGCTCCAAAGTGTTTAAGCAGATTTTATTTCCTTGGAAGTTAAACTAAGCCTGTGTCCAAAATGACACTGAGCCCATTCTCTGTTTTAGGGCTGACGGACCATGAGATACTGTCTCAGTCTTTTGGCTTCATCATCGGTGGGTATGAAACCACTAGCAGCACCTTGTTAGTACTAGCGCACAACCTGGCAACCAATCCCACAGCCATGAAGAAACTACAGGAAGAGATTGACAGTGTCTTCCCTAATAATGTAAGTATAAGCATTATCCGTAATATGTCCTGATGCCTCATTACAGACTGTCAGACTTTGGGTTTTATCTATCTGTCTGTCTGTCTGTCTCTCTCTCTCTCTCTCTCTCTCTCTCTTTCTCCCTCTCTCTTTCTGATTTTAACCTGGGGAAGATTAATAAAAATGCAACAGGTTTTTCAGGTTTCTGAGCACTCTGTGAACTCAAAGTTTTATTTGGCTTGAGGGACAGTGGTTTATTCAACATACTGAGGGACAGTGCCACCCACTGGACGTGAAGATACAGAACATGTTTGGTCAGGCATCTTATCAGAGAAGGTCCTTGCCCACCACAGAGCCCTGTCACGTACGAGGCACTGATGCAGATGGAATACCTGGACATGGCCATGAATGAGTCCATGCGCCTCTGGCCTCCTGCACCACGCATTGAGCGGACCTGCAAGAATGCGGTGGCGATTCAAGGGGTGACCATCCCCACTGGCACCCTGGTGGTGGTGCCAACCTATGTTCTGCACCGCGATCCAAAGATCTGGGAGTCACCTGACACATACAAGCCTGAGCGGTAACTCACAAGTCTGGCATGCGCTTTACATAATTAGTGTCTGTTACTATTTCCTTGTAATAACTTTCCTACTGGTGTTTTTAAGGTTCAGCAAGGAAAACAGGGAGGATATTAACCCCTACACGTTTCTGCCATTTGGAATGGGACCTCGAAATTGCATCGGCATGAGATTTGCTCTGGTGATCATGAAAATGGTCGTGGTGAAACTGCTGCAGAACTTCCACCTGGAGACCTGCAAGGAGACACAGGTAGGTGATAACACCATTTCCTTGATGATCTCCACCCATGGCTCAAGGGCACCATGCAGGAATAGAATTATAATCAGCTGTAATCACAGTTTAAACTTCCCATTTTGTACTGGCATAGTGGTGCAATGTTTACCATGGTTGCTTCACACCTCTGGAGACCTGTGGCCTGTACTACGAAGCGGGGTAACTGGCTTATCGGGGTAACTTTGCGAGTAACTTGATGACGTGTGGTGTAACTTCGCGATTAACCGGTACTACGAAAGGTGGGTAGGTTTTAGTCGAGACATGTTGCTATGGCAATTTACCCTAAGTCTCAAAACTGCTCCGAGCAGTTTTTGTTCTTTTTTAAGTCGAGGTTTCTGCGTAAGCCAGCCCTATATGAGCACCGCCCCTCCCACTACAATTTCTCCGAAAACAATGCCGGCGTACCTCTTCACTAGATGTGCCTGTCTTGTCTAGTTTTAAAGATATTAACCCATTCATGTATTGTCGACTGCACAGTATACGGATACAA